TGGGCATGGAGCCTAGAAGATTCGAAACGATCATAAGGTAATTTTTTCTTCTTCCATGCTCAATGGCATCTCAATGATCTGACATTATTTTATTTCAGCTTGTCTCCTTCCTTCGAATCATTTAATTTAAGTGACAAAAAATAGCTATATTAAGCTACTACATTCAAGAAATGAAACCTATTGATGTTGGCTCTCTTATCTTTGAGGCTATTAGTACTTTTGTTCGAGCTATTACTACTTCAGATCTAGGCTATACTTCTTTAATTTTTATTATTTGCGAAGACTCTGGGGTAAATTTTGATCCTTAGGAGGAGAAGTTAAAGCCACTTAAGCCTATTGGGAATGCTAATGTAGATGTTTATGGATGACTTAGAGGTAGATCTCCTGATACACCTTCTGCTACTACTTTTAGGCCTTCTACTTCTAGACCTTCTACTTCCAATGCTACTGAGCCACCATCTAGTTTCTGGAAAGTGTTGAGTGAGAGATACTTGGAGTACCATAATGATATGTTTATGATGTAATGTCGTATGCAAGATATGGAAAATAAATTTGATCATATGACAAATTATGTCTGGAGGAAGAGTGATTACGAGGTAGAATATGACGAGGCATTGGTGAAATTTATGAAGGGAGATCAGCCAGTTGAGTTTCCTGCATGCCCTTGATTTACTCCTTATGAGAGCCGCAAATCTATGGATGAAGATATACCCTTTGATTTTGATGATGATGATTATATTTTATTTACGATTCTATAGTAGTTATGTTTTTCAGATCTTTCTCATTATGAACTTTTGATGTATGCTTTATGTGGATTTCTCGAAGTAATTTTATTTGTATTATTGCATTTGCTCTTGTTAATTTAGTTTGTTTATGTGTTAGAGTAGACTTTTTCATTACAAATTTTCATGATATACATGTTGTGATTTATGATATACATGTTGTGATTTAGTGTTGTGATTTAGATTTTCTACTACTCAACACATGTTTTTATTAATTGTATCTATAATGTTCTCCTGCTTAGAAATCTTAAAATTTTCTTCTTTATTCATGCTTATTATGAACTGTACTGTTTTTAATAAATTAAAAATTTAAGTGTGGGGGAAGAGAGAAAAACTTTTTAAAACTAAACTTTATTTGTCCTCAATAAACTATATTTTTAAAATTATTTTAACATAGCCTGTGATATGTGGTGTTAACTTTAGAAGATTATATTTTTGATTCTATAATGTTATAATAGTCATAAGTAAAATTTTCTAGTAGCAAGGGGTAGTTTAAAATGTTAAGTTGTTTGGTATGAAATTTTAGAATCGTGCTTTTCATTATTCAGAGTAGAGAAATTATATTTTTGAAATGCTTAGAAATCTTAGATATACACTTCAAAAAGAATTGGAGACTCTATGAAAATCATTTTAAATTAATACACATTATTAAGTGAAGAAATGTGATGGAGTTTTAACTTTCGGAAAAGGATAGTGAAGTTCAAAATTATTAAAGGCTCTTCAGATTTAGACTCCAGATTTAGTAATCCTCATATAAAAAAAAAGAAAGAAAGAAAAATCAACAGAAAAGAAAAACAAAAAGAAAATTAAGTGAGGAGAAGCTTGAGGAAATACCTAATCAAAAATTGGTTTCACTTGAATCAACTTAAAGACACTTGAATCAACGGTTTCACTTGAATCAACTTAAAGAAAAAGATTTATTTACATTTGTAAGCTTATTTACGATTTTAAAGTATTAGTATTTTTATTAGTAGAGTTCTCATATAAATTCTTTTCTTTTAATTTTTCTGAGACTTCTCAACACGATAAATTACAATTATTTTTTTGAAATAAATAAGAAATCAGAATTCCTAGACTTGAGTATTGAGTATCTTAATATTTTTGTTCTAACTTAAGTTATTAAACATTATGCTTAAGTTCTATTGTCACATTTTTAGGACAAAAATTATAGGAATCTTTATGTATTGCCCACCATCACATGTTATATTGTTTTATTTAATAAAAGGGTTACTTAAGGACAAGTAACACTTAAGTTTGAGGGAATTGATCCACCTTAAAATTACCTACTTTTTATGCACATTTTATACCTATTTTTGAAGATATTATACTTTAATGAAAGATATTTTGTGTGTTTTTAATTGCAAGAACAAGAAAAAGAGTTTAAGAGCAAAAAGAAGCAAAAATGCGTCAGAAAGAAGTAAAATGGGCCAAATCATAGAAAATTGACAAAACCAGTCGAACTGCCGCCTAGGCGCCAGATGAGAACGCGGCTGGCGCCTAGTTGCGACAGTTTTGACACCTAGGCATCGGAGTTAGTTTCTAGAAGATTCATTAGAGAGATGTCTGAAGCAACCCTTGGTCATTTTCGAAGCTCTATATATATATATATATATTAATTTTAAACATTAAGGGTGAGTTCTAGAGTCATTTTGAGGAGGGGAGGCACCCATATAGAGTGGGTGGCAACCTTAGGGAGGTTTTGTGAGACTTGTAAGAGTCTATTAGAGTCAAAGAAGTCAGAGAACATCAAAGAAGTGCTTGGGAAAGCATTTAAGATAAGTATTTATATCTTTTGCTTTAAGTGTTGTGTTTTAGATTTGACTTTTATAAATATGTTTTGTTTTGTTATCCTTGAGCAGTTTTATTCTTTCTCCTTGAAATATGAAGTAATCATGTGGTGTCTTTCTCCTTGAATATGAAGTAATCATGTGGTGGTTTTGATTTCTTTAGAATTTCATTTTTTTCCAAAAATTTGTGATGATATTTTCACCAGTACTTCATTTAATTTACAAATTGGTCACTTGTATTTTTAAAATTTGTTGGGAAACTGAAGGACCCAAGAGGGCTAAGATTTCTCTAACTAGTGAGCATCACATTTCACATTGGAAAGATCCGTGGAGATCGTCTTAGGGGGATGCAAATAGATAGCGAGATAAGATTTAATGGGCGTAGAATTGATGTTTCCAGGGTGACAGACTAAATTCTTTTATCAATTTGGTCTAGAGATTGGAACTATGGGTCACGGGTAGGTCCTATAGAGAGGGCACAGTGGGTAATCTAAGAGTGAGAGACTAGAACCTACCCAACACTACTATATATGCCGACACCAACTTTAGATTAGCTAATATTCTTTATGCTTGGAAGAGGTAAAGAATACGTATGCTTCTATTTGTCACAATACCACATTTAAACTTCTAAACAATTGAAATCCTACACTGATTATGAATTATTTGTAAGGAGAAAGTCTTTATATATATATATATATATATATATTGAATTTTCTAAATTCTGCATTTACTTTTAACTTGCATTTGTAGGATTTAGTAAACTTTATTTCATTACATAAACTACTTTAATTTTTTTCTGCAATCATAAGTAAAGGTTTTTCAAAAAGTTAAATTTTTTAATTTTATTTCCTTTCTTACATTTCCCTGTGGGATCCATACTGGGGTTTTTAAAGAAAACTCTATATTACTTAAAACGATACGTTTACTTACGTAGTACTCTTAGTAAGAAAACTATTAATCTAAATTTCATAATATTACATTTGCTCTTTCTAGCCTTATCACTAACCGCTAAATATAAATTGAGTCAATATTTTGGTCATATTCAGAACATAAATATTTGTGTAATTGCGGGTCAGGTCAATGCCCTTTTATCGATAAGGTGAACCTGGACCATAAGACAGAGAGTGTCCACCGTAATGTGATAAACAACTCTCCTTGAACAAAAGGTCTTCTCGAAGGATCATAAAGGAGCTCTATGAGGTGCACTTTGGCCATACTTGTGAAGAATTTCAAAATCAACTGAGGAAGCTGGTCATGATTGTTTGTTCCTCGAATTAGGTGCCTTCCTTTCCATTCATAAGTTTAACTGTGCTTCAATTCGGTTGGCTCAAGTTTTCTATTGAAAGAAGCGACGCTTGGCGTTTTGTCTATTGATAACCCTGATACACTGTCTTTTGGTGTTCATATACGAGACTTTTTGGATTTTCTTGAGATTTTTGAGGCATATTTTTTATGTACACCATAAAAGATAAATATTTCATCTTCCAACCAACCAACTGATTTTACAATTTATCTCACAATTTCGAACAATCGACAACAAGTAATTTGAAGGATTTAATAGGAACAACTCAAATATGCCAAAGAAGAGATTTAAGGGAAAACCCACCTAATTGATAAATATGATTCCGCATATCGATTTTAACACTTAGTGAAACAAATAAAGGATTATTTTTTTATTAACCTTCAAGTTAGTATATTTATAAATACTCTCAGTAATGTTGTTAAAATTAATAATGAAATTAACATCAGTTTTATCAAAAATCAACAAATAATCAACATAAATAAGATAAAATGTATTATATCCATTTCTCTAGATGTTTAATAAGATTATAAAAATTAAAACTATCTTGCTAAACATCCATGAGATGCGAAAAATCATTCAAAACAACGAAAAATATGATTATGCTTAAATATTTTGTGTGCTAGGAGTATTCATCCTAGACAATTAATTTTTGTTCACATTTTCCATTTCTCTAAAGATCAACACCCCTAACGTAACTCTACGTGCGAACTTCCAGTAATATATCGCCATGTATGTTCTCTAGATCCACTCTCCTAACGTAGTTATACGTGCGAACTTCCAGTAATATATCGCCATGTATGCTATATAGGACCCACCTAAAAAATATTAAGGTAGAATCGCCGGCTCTGCAATAACCCAGAAATAACACAAAAATAACCCCAGAATAATCTGTGCGGTGAGTTTCTCTTCAATAACTCAGAAATAACATTGCAGATGTTATTTCTAGATTATTTTGGGATTATTGAATTAAAATATATGATTTCTTTTCAATAATTTAAAAATAATTCAAAAATAATTTAAAAATATCTTCCGCGATATCATTTCAGGATTTTTGAAGGCATGGAGATTATTTCTAAATTATTAAAATCAAATGTAATAACTAAGAAATAACCCCAAATAACTCGCCGTCCGTGAGCCCGCAGTAGCTAGTTAGGAGTCCGACAAAAATTTTCCTAATTATTTGGCTCCAGACAACAATTACGCAAGAGAAGATGCAAACCTGAATCCGGCTAACGATCACTATTTCCGTTCTTCTGTGTCCTTCGCCGCCGGCGTTCGCTGGAGATGGAGAGACACATAGAGCGGCTGCTGAATCGCATCTCCCTCTGCTTCGCCACCGTTGCCACACTCTCTCTCCTCCACCTCTTCTCGCGCTCCTCCTTCTTCTGCGCTCCAGCCCTCCTCTACCGCCGAAACCACGTGCAATCCCTAACCCTAACCCTTTCACCCTTTCCCACCTCTTCCTGCGAAACTGCTTCCCGCGATAGTATCTCCCCAGAAAAGCGCTTTCATAAGCTCCGCTCCTCCCGCGCCTTCGAACGGCGCGTCCAATCATTTTCTTCCGTGTTCCGCTCCCTCCGCTCTCTCGGCCTCCTCTCCAATTCATCCCACGTTCTCTGCGTTTCCGCTGGCGCTGGCCACGAGGTCGCCGCGCTTCAAGATTCCGGCGTCGCTGACGTTACTGGGGTCGAGGTTACTGACTTCCCGCCTCTCGTCAAGCGTGCTGACCCTCACAACCTCCCATTCTTTGACGGAGTTTTTGATCTTGGCTTCAGCACCGGTTTCAGCGCTGCCCTGTTTCCCATGCGGTTTGTGGAGGAGATAGAGCGAACAGTGCGGCTCACCGGGGTGACGGCGCTGGCAGTTGATGGGTGGGGTGCCAAGGAAGGTGTGGAGGACGTTGAGAAGCTCTTTAAAATGTCCAGCAGTGTTGAGGTTAAGAATTTTACCCTGGATGGATCTCCAATGACTTTGATTGTTATGCGAAAGAATAATAATGGAACGAAACTTTACTGAGTTTCTTTCTCGCTGTCTTGCTGTATTTTCAGCTTTGTATATTCATATTGGTTTCATTTGTTTTTGTGAATATAGTTAATTGAGTACTAATGCTTTGATTTTAATGAGTGTTGTGTCATGTCCGATTCAACTATGTTGTTCTTATACCGTATGCACTTGATATAAAGTTTTCTAGTGTAAAACTTGTAAGTGAAGGCAATCAACATTATCATCAAAGTTGAGGACATACCCTTATTTATCATTTGTGATTGGAGCATAACTAAGAGTCGGAGTCGGACGAAGTAAATGAGTAAATATTTATTTTTGGGGTACGGTGTCAATAAAGTGAACAGTTCGGTAGTATCATTGTCGTATTATAATTTGGTTTATATTTACTGAGCAGCGATTTCTAGCTCTTTTTTGAGTTGCATTTGTCTTTGATTACAATGAGAAGAGTGGTCATTTTGTGTGAGATGACATAACTATGTCCTATGCCTCAAAGCACTCCTTCAAAGGTACATGCAAGCGTCTCCAATATTTTTGAAGCATCTAGACTTAGGTTGTTTTCATAAAATGTTGGAACCTTAGTCATTCATGTTTTATTTTCTTACACATACACCCATTTTAATGTATTTTATATGTTGGTCTTACTATCACATGTGTCTTTGCATTTTGATTGTATCCATGCAGTTTATTCATTTTGAATATAAATCATAAAAATTGTTGCTTCTTATCATTCCCGTTAAGTGCTTCACGCGACCAATCATTTTGTGCTTGATTTTTTTTTTATAATTTTCATCTTTTTTTCTGGTTAATATATTTTATTTGTAATACTTTTTTATTAATTATATCCATTGACATTATTAGTGTAACTTTCACCCTATTATAAATGTCAATATCACCTATATTTTAAAACTATTTTCACTTTAATAGTTTTCAATGTTTAATATTACAGAATTGTGTATTGAGGTGTTTTGAGATATAAGCTTCAAAATAAAAATTTTAAATTAACAAAAATATAATAATAAAGTATTTGAGTGCAATCCTTGTTTGGATAATGATAAGTAACATTATCAAAATTTAAGCTCAGTTTTCTTTCAATAAAGTATTTGATAGTAGTCCTAAAGCATCAATGCAAATTCATAAATAGTCATACAAGCACTCTGGAATAAGCAGAATGTCTAAGATTAACTAGTAAACATAAATGATTAGTTTAAAATAAAAAAAACACGCCCTAAAGTAAATTAGTTTTAACTTAGGATTTCAAATTCATAGTTTCTTCCACTCTCGTCACTTAGAGTGTTTTAATTAGAGTTATTATTGTAGAGGATTACTTTCTCGGTTTCCTTATCCTTGTATAAACCTTCTCTCAATCAGTTCCATCATTCAATTTCAATCATCTTACACTGTGCTAATTAATAAAATCCAATTAAAATATTATTTAAATAATGACGCTATCGACCTTTTATAATTTCTATGCAGTTTTATACTTTTTCTTTTGAATTTTCTTGTTGACTATTGATGTTCCTATTTCTACTTATATTGAAAATAATTATCATTGTGATCTTGTTATAGTTTAGAATGGTTGTTGGGCTAATGCATATAAAAATACAAGCTCCTTCTAAATTCTGAAATCGAGGCATAGGCCTTGATTTTTATGTTCCATTGTCCGCCTAAAATAATTTCAGATGTATTTCTCTTTCTTTTACTATAAGCAGTAAGCGTTGTGTTATTTTGCATTTTTCTCACAAATCAATTTTAACTCTCTTTCTTCCCCACTCAACTTGACTATATGTGATTGTTTTGTTGCCTAACATTTGAATTAGTATACCATATTCAAGCAAATTCTATTTTAAAACCTTAGCTATAAGTTTCTATGGTATTATTCTCTCATAGAATTTTTAATGCACTTTTTCATTTTGACTAACCACATTTAACTCTATATGTTATTCTCTCATCTATATTTGTATTTTTTTAAATAACAGATTTAAATATGAAAACCTATTATAGTACATTCATTAATGCAAGATTAATTGATAATTTTCAATGCCATTGACACAAAAATGCATATCATATCATATACATGATATTTTAGTCCAACCTTTTGTCTTTTATCTTTTAAAATCTTTCTTGGTTGTTTTAACTTTGTCCTTGGAATGTTCTTTTCTGTAGAATTGTATATAGAAGGTATATAAACCTAGATGTCGTACTTTGAATATCTTTTTAGCCAACTCCGTTAAGTTTAAAAAAATATTATTGCTATCATTAGTATACTCATTTTATGATTGGAAAATCTTTTGTCACTCCACAATTGTCCTAATATCATTAGAATTTGCTTTAATAACCTTAACAAGCCATTGATATACATTTTCCTCTATTATTCTTACTAAATTAATTTTTAGAGCCATTCATCATATGCCTTTTCTGAGCGTAATAAACATTGTATGAAGATCATTACTTGGTATTTTTATTTTATTAAGTCAATTATTTTTATACAAAACAATCCTCAAGTTTTTTTTTTTTTTGGGCATTAATTTCACTGTCTATCAGACAATGTACAACAGTCTTTTTTTTGTTTTCTCCCATAACTATCCAAGTTGTAGTAAATACATTTTCTTGGCTTTTCTAGGCTAACATCTTTATTTTTAATCATATTCCTCAACTTTGTTTCAGCTCTTTTTTTAATCAATTTATAGAAAGATTATAATTTTATTTATTTGCCTCTTCTAAAGTAATTTATTTCTTAACATTTATTTAATATTTTCTTCTTATTTATTTATTGTTTTATCTTTAATTATGATCCGTTATCTTTACCATTCGGATATTTACACAATCAAACTCTCTCTGTATATATTTTTTTATCGTTTTAAATATTTTTTCCTCACATTTTAATATATGGTTTTCCATAGAAATAATGAAGAGCTATATCTCCAGGTTTGCTATACTCTCTTTGCATAACTTTTGATAACCTTAAATTGCTTGTATCAGTGGTCTTTGTTTTATCATTATTTTTGAACATCATTTTTTTTAACCTTCTGTAATTTCTGACTCTTAAGTGTTTTTGATTTACCCAGCTTTCATTATAAATAAATAATCAACCATAGCTTTGACATTGTAAAGTACATCCTTTGCAAACTTTAGTCTATAAATTTTGTTTTATTAGTATTTGTTCAAAGTGATGGTGATATAGATGGGGATGTTATTAGTAGAATTCAAGTTGGTTGGCTGAAGTGGGGGAATGCATCAGACCTATTGTGTGATACAAAAGTACTGTTGGGATTTAAAGGAAATTTTTGTAAGAAGGTGGTTAGACCTGTAATGCTTTATGGCTCAGAATAATCGCCTTTAAAATCCAAGTTTGTGTTGCTGAGATGAGAATGTTTAAGTGGATGAGTGGCTTGATACTTAGAGACAAAATGCATCACGAATGTATCCGTGAAAGGGTAGCTATAGATGTAGTGGCAGATAATATTATAGAGAGTCATGTTAGATGGTTTGGTCACATTAAACTTCAACCATCTGATGGTCCATTCAGTAGATTAGATGTTTAAGATTCGACTTATGTTAAGGAAGACAGAGGTAGATCTAAAAAGACTCATGCATATTGTATAAAAAATGAACTTAATTTATTAGAATTAAATGAAAATATGATATTCAACAAGGCACAATGGAGAAAAGGATTCATGTAACCGACCCCGCTTAGTAGGATAAAGTCTTGTTGTTGTTGCTATTGTAGCATTTTTTTTTTAAATTTTTTTACGTATTGTTCCTTTCTTCATTAACATTTTTTACAATCTGTTCTCAAAATCTCCTTAATTTCTTATTTGTAATATTTTTAATGAAACAAACCATTTTAACAGACTTAAAGGCCAGTTTAATTTTAACGTTCCAATTTACCTTTTTTGTTACGCAGTTTTGTAAGACTAACTACTCAAAATTTAAGGATTGATTTACTACTACTTTCTTATTTAACGTTTCAAAAAAAAAGTCTACTTTGTTTATATGCAAAGTATGTTTAGAAATCCCTGATTTATTTAAGCCCCATCTTTATGATTTCATGAGCATATTGACTAACTTCTGAAACAACCTACAATTCTTTATGAAAGTATGGTGTTTTTATTTCTTACAAGACATTAATGGATCAACTTCATCTTTGTTGTGCCAAAACAAACCTAAGCTTTACCATGCTATCCAAAGAAAATTTTTTCTACCTGTAAATTTATATCACTACTTTATTCAATGCTGCAAAATATTATTTTGAAATCATGTTTCAATCCTTTTAAAAATACTTGCATTTCATCCTTGTAATTTAGCAGGTCTACCATTGTCATTAATTAAGGGCTCTTCTCATTATTTTTTAATTACTTGGCCATAATTCTATTATCATATTTTGTCAGGAAGTTAAATTTAGCATTTGCCATCATATGTATACCTTTTTTATACTCGTTAAGAATTTTTGCATGTATTTCTACTTTCTTTTTCATACATATTATCAAATAATGATTTTGCAATCACATTATACAAATAGGCAACACTAAATGTTCAATCTTCCTTTGGTTTACACTATAGTATAGTCAATCTTTTTCGAAATTTTTTTTCAAACTTTTAATTCATCTTTGGGAGAATAGGAACTGATCACATTATGATATGTTTCTCTAATAGTTAACTTAATGGCAAGTCACCATATGAAAGCTCCAATCAAACACAATAATGTACATATCAATACTCTATGTACTACTATCCCTTCATTCTTATTACATTCTTCTTAATATATAATTAGGATTAAATCTAAAAACAGTCCATTGACTATTTGTATTTGGTCAATTTAGTCCTAGAGTATCACATCTCTCTAAATTAGTCCCTTGTTTATATAGAATTGATCCAAATGGTCCTTCAGGGAATAAATTAGGTGCATTTTTGTAATCACAATACTAAATTGGCAATAAATTGTTATTTAAATTTCTATATGAGGTTTCATTTGAGATCAATTTTGTATAATTGAGTGAATAACTTAGAGAAATGTGATGCTATGGCACTAACTTGTTCATATACTAATAGCTAGGGGGGACACCAATCTACAAAAGCATCTATAGCAAATAGTTATGTAAAACGATTGAAACAAAGTCAAGAATTTTTAGTGATAGTTGTCATGATAGGGCTTGGTGACAATATAGCTTATGTCTATTCAGGAGTTATTTCTTGTGTTTGAAATTTCTTAAT